GTTCAGTCAACACAAAACGGACTAACTCAGTTATGTCATAGAACTGTTTTCAGGTTCAATGAGATAATGCATGTGTTCATGCTAAGCACAGGCCACATGAGATATGTGCACAAAAAAGCCATCCATTAATATTATTAGTAAAGAACCAGTAGCAATCAGCCAGATTAAGGAAGTGGGGGATGGGCATTCCAAGCTGAGATCATAGGGACAGGTGTCTGCAGGGTGAGTTGCTTTGCAAGTTTTTCAGTATGGCTAAAATAAATCTGTGTGATAGAAAAGATTTGATGACAATGGTATGTAGAAGCCTGATCCCAAAGGGCTTGTGTGCTAAGGTAGGGAGTGTGAACTCTGTCCTAAAAGCTTGGGGAGCCACTGAGGGGTTTTAAGTGACAGGGTCAGATTTGTGGTGTTATCTAGCAGCACTGTAATGTTCAGAGAGGAAAAAGACCAGAGTTGGAGAGAGAAGTCCAGGAGGCCATTGAAGCACCAAATTAAAAAGAAAATGGTTGCATGCTGCTCAGATGACTTTTACTCATTGTTAGATTCTGCTAGGTATTGAAGAAGAGTTATCCCTCATCTTCCACCATGGCCATTTATATGTCCACCGCTTCTATATGGGGCTATTGTTCTTCCCAAAGAGTCTGTGTGCTTAGTATTTTAAGGGCTACTAGAAGTTTTCTTGCCAATGAATGACTCCTGGAAGTAACTCAGACCCTCTGGGTGGAATGGGAAGGCCAGACATCCAGGAGAGCTGGATGGGAAATGAGAGCTCCAGGCTCACACGGGTGAACATCCTACCCATGCTTACCCTGGAGATCAGGCACTCATTGATTGCATAGCTGATTGCTCCCCCAAGATATAACTGAAGCCCCTGCTCCCTTGCCATGGCATCCCCTCCCTCACACCACACATATGGCAGCTGACATCCGCTTTGGGTCACCGCCATTCTTCACCATTAGAAATGACTCTAGGAGTAAGGTCATTCTTTGTCTCTCTGTGCCTCAGTTTTCCTGGCAATAAGAAGGCGATAATTAAACTCTCCTGAAAAGTGTATGAGAGTTTGATTTAGATTGGAAAGCAGCATGATTGTATCTTAGACCAGAGGTTGTCAAAGTTCTTATTTGCCAAGGGATCTTTTGTTGAAAGGAAATCTCACACAAGAGACCATATGTAAAACAGATCCAAGTGGATCTGCTCTTGGTCAAGTGGGGTTGGAGGGTCTGTATTGCGTTGTCTTGGTTCCTTGTACCTGGGCCACCTGATAGGGTCAGAGGGATGCAAGGACTCCTTCGAGTCCAGTTTGAAAGCTATAGACAGATGTTTCACTAAAGCTTTGTGGGTCAGATGCTACTGACAGGCAGAGAGTTAGCATTTTCTCCCACAGGCAGCTGTGTGACCTTCTGTGCCTCATGACTAAATTGTGGTCAAGTGAGACTCAGGCCACTGGAGGCAGAGACCCTGTCTCATTCATCTTTGATTACCTCCCTGGTGCCCAACACTAGCTACTTGAATGATTGAGTCTCTGTGATTAATTTAATGACTTTTTTCAAGGATAGTAATTGTTCCTTAATGTCTGAAATGGTTAAACTGCCAAAAATGAACAGTTGGCACTCTTTCTTTGCTTGCAAAGAAATCTAAGTCTTCATTCCAGTGAAAGTCTGGGAACTTTAGGGAAGCTGTAGAATGGCTGCGACACTGCAAGCAGCTCATGTGATGTCCTTCGGAGCTGGTGGCCACATGAAGCCAATTCTCAACGGTGAAGAAGAGTGAGATCCAGTTCACACAGAAGGCCATACGTGCCCCTCCCTTTCCAGGAAGCAAGCCCCCTCTCGAAGGAGCATCATTCATTCGTGCCATCGGGCAGCTCCTTAAAATGTGCTAATGGGTATCCACACTTGCAGATTAGTGGATCCCTTCACCAGGCAACTTTCTGTGTGCTTAACATACCCCAGTACTGTGCTAAGCATTTCTCCTCTATTACATAGTGGAATTAGCATATAAACTCTTGAGGCGAGTGTTATTGTCATCACCATTTTACACTTGTGGTAGCTAAGACTTCTGAGACATAGTCATTAAGTAATCACCCAATGGCCCTAAGGCTCAGTGAGATCAGACAACTTTCTCAAGGTCACACAGCTTCTGAGAGGCAGAAATGGTTATTTTCACCCATGTACAACACGCTGCACATAGAGAGTAGAGAACATAGTCATGCATTCACTTGATATTTATGAAGCATCTGCTACATGCCAGGACTGGAAATATCTACTGTCCCAGGCACTGTGGCTCCAACACTGAACCAAACACACAAAACTCAATGCCCTCAGGGAGGTTATTCTCTGGTGGACTCAACCAACTCGAGCTCTGTCATCTCACAAAACCACCCCTAACCATTACCATTTTGGGCTCTAGTGATGTTTTACCTCCTTAAGTCCTAGAGCTCATGACACCTGGACCATGCTTTTGGCCCTTAATAGTTCTCCATTTCTTTCAAAATAAAGACAAAAGGGGGAATGGTCAGACTAGTAGCAGGACTAACTTCCAAGCTGCTTTTTCATTCTCTGGTGGCAGATACTGTTTGCAAGAGTCATTTGACTCTCACATGAGGATTGCATAAGCTGCCGCCTGTCATAGTCACATAGTAAGTGGCTTTGCTATGTTTGTTATATTTTGGTGTGGGTAAGGCTTATCATAAGCCTCTAAAAGGCAAGAGCTGTGTCCTATTCTGTGACCACTCCCCCAACTCTTGATATCTTTCAGGCAAACTCTCAAGTGCTTGGGATAATATTAATAATACTAATTATTATATATTAAAATATTAGTAATGTTAATGATACTGATAATCTTTCCCGAGCACTATCTGTATGCCGGGCACTGTGTCAAATACTCTACATCCATTATCTCATTTAATCCTCACCATGACCTGTTTGCTCTTGTCATTATTTTCTTATCCCCATTTTACACATGAGAAAAACAAGACTCAAGGGCACATAGTTAGGAGCTGGGTCCCTGGTGGTTCAGCCAACATGTCCTGGAAATGAAGATGAAAGGAACTTGGGAATCGGTCTGTGCTGCTCCTGGTCTTCACGGCTCACCCTTCACTGCTCACCCTTCCCTAGACAGACATTATGATTGAGAGCAGGACGCTCTCTCCGGGCCTAACCCTCCAGATGACTCCCAGGACTTCTTCACGTTCTCTGACAGGACCCTGGGCGTGGAGATCCTTTTGGAGAGTTTTTGCTGAAAGCATGTTGTGCAAACAACTCTCGAACCTGTAGCTGACGAACACAAACCTAGAGCTGGTGGCAGCCTATGATGCACTGACATTGTCTTCATTTCCTTATTAGTATCATTCCATAGATTGTTTCCGTCCTACTGTACCTGCAGTCGTGATGAACTAACTCTGAGTAAGAGAAATGACAGGTTAACTTGTCTTTCATTTGTTTTCCATAATAAACGGAAATTTTCCTTAAATGCTCTAAATCATTAACATTTCAATGTATTTATGCTTTTTCTTTCTGGCATCCTAATGGCAACATTCCCTAATTATATCTGCTGTACAAACATCAACTTTGACAGCTCTTTGCATGCCGGTAAGTGCCGCTCCCACTGCCTTTGTTTGCCTGTTGATTCGAGGAGGGAGTTTGCTTTTTGATGCCATCCCACTTACTTTTTGCACATAGACTGTTAAACAGGAAAGCAAGACCAGCAAGTTAAGTGATGAGGAGCTGCGAGAGGATGTAGCTAACTCACCTCGTGCTTGCCATGTACTAACTAGGTGCTGTTTCAAGCACTTCACACGTATTAACTTATTTAATCCATCTTCAACTCTCTGAAACAGAGCCTGTTATCATCTCATCCACTTCTATAGATGGCGAAGCAAGACAGAGACATAAAGGCAACTAGGTCAAGGTCACACTAGGTTAGTAAGTAGCCAGGCCAGTCTTCCCAGTCTGGCTCCGAACAGGACAGCCTTAAGTCAAATGTCTGCTCTGTCCATACCTTTCCTTTTCCATTGTGACCTATCTCTTACATAATGACTAGTCCTGCTGCTGTGTTGGATCTTTGGGTTAAAAAGGGTGGGAGAAAAGTGGGGAAATGGTAATGGCATGACAAAGTACTCTTTCTCTTCCTTGCTTTAAACCTCAAAATTGTAGCTTTTGCCTGAAGACCCACGTCCTTCGGGATGTTGTTAGGTTTAAAATGCATGAAGCTATAAGCAATCATAAATTTTAACGAGCAAGTTTAAAATGCCCCCCACCCCAGGTTTTACCACTCAAAGATCAGGACTGAGGCCAGGTGCAAGCCATCGGGCATTCCTGAAAACTAGAGCACTTTCTCAATTTATTGGCCTCACTACTTTGAAGTGCAGGTGAATTTTTAAGTGAGCTTCCACAGATCAGACCTTGAATATTGATCAGTGCATCTGTTGATCTGCACCATACACTGACTGAGCAAATGCCAGGACGGAACTTAAGGTAGCAACAGAGATGTGAGCGTGTTCTCCTTAAAGTGATACATCAACGTAATTTTACCTTTGCTTTTGGCGTTAGAAGCACAACCTGGGGCTGTGGATATAGCAAGGGAAGGAGGCTCAAAAGAATATTTTAATTTTAGAAAACAGGCCACATCGTTAAAGGAATTGCCCTCTTTAATTCATTAAAAAATTACCACATTCCTTTCAAGTGAAAATAAAAATAATATTTCTTAATGTTTGTTCATTGTTAATAATATGCCAATTACTGTATAACTTTTCGTAGATAACTATTCAGGGTATAAATGAAGCCCACAAGATGGATTAATTCTCCAGCAGTACAAACAAAAACTTTCAATGTTTTATACCACATAATTAAATGCTGTTTGTTGTTTCTAGAAGAACTTGGGACATGCTAATTAATTGCCTCAATAAGATGGTTAGATGTTTTGTGGTTGATATTCGAATTAGATATTTATAAACTCTGCACAATACTGCTGATGAATTACTCTTACAGAATAAGTCCTACCTGCAGAAGTCTGGGGGTACCATGCCATAAACATTGATCCTGTCACAGAGCTCCAGTGCAATCGTCATTGTGAACCAGCCAGTGCTGAGCCAAGTGTTGGAGATCTTCCTGGAAGGAATAATGGTTAAGTCTGCAAGCTGGTAAGGGCATCATTGTACCCATTATCATCTTAAATCTTTTCTGGGGCAAGCCAGAGAGGCTTACTCCACTCTCTTTCTCTCTCTCCCTTTTATAAGTATCTGGAGCTTTACCAAGTTGAAATCTCTTACCAACAACACCATATTCCACGGTGCAATCATAACTGATGCTGATGTTCCACCATGGTATATTTGTGACACTAAAGGACGTTCAAGGGACTTCTAGATCAAAGGTGATCAATGTCACAATGGTCAAGTGCATGTTACCACAAGTCAACTTCTCGTAAGATGATAGTCCCAGTGTGACAATTCTTTATTAAGTAGAATACTTGACTGACTAGAAATTCTCCTTATTCCCCAGATAATAGTTTATTAAATAAACATGTAGATGTGTTTATCTATTGATCAATTGGTCAGTTGATCTTAGGGTAAAATCTTGCCTTCAAGTAGACTAATTAACACCAACATCTTGATTAAATGACTTTCCTTAAGTATACTCACGTGGGAGGAGCAATGACCAGAGGAAAACAGCCCCAGGAATGCTTATATTTAACTGAGCATTTGTTTTATTTTACCTCAGAACATTCAGGGCCCTGAGAAAATTTTTATTAGAAGACCAAAAATTGATGAAATTTAAGGAATAAATCTGTGCATTCTACCGTTCATTACTTTGCCCCTTCAGACATCTGTATTGAGCTTCAACTAATACGAGCCTAAGCATACCATCACATCAAGGTCTAATTTGATCCTGTGATAATGACTTGGTTTACCATGCTATACTGCTGTGGATACTAATTTCAGTTCTTTGGGGGTTGCCACTCTTACTTTTTTTCAGCTCATATGGCATGCCTCATTAGCCGGTTTCAAACACCTTATCCCCAAGGTCAGACTGTCTGACTTTGCCCAGCCGTAGCACCATATGTGATGTGAATGACAGAGCCGCAGAAAATCTTTTCTACTTGCACTCTGTAGCACCCCTCCTTGAAAAGAAGGAAGACTTTTTGTGAAGCTGCATTATTTCCATCTCACACAAGGACCAAAAAAAAATCGTATAACTTCGTATAATGTATGCTATACGAAGTTATTACGCCTGTCACGTGAGGAGACTAACCACGAGCATGAACACATCCAGCTGCATGTTTGACTTCTCTTCCTCAGCATTCTCCTCCTTCCAGAAAACCTAGGTTAAACCTCTCAATGAACCATCAGAAATCAAGAAAAGGATTTTTTGGCTTTTGGTCCTGTAACTGTAATGGCCCTGTTTCAAAAAAAAAAAAAAAAAAAAAAAGAAAAGAAAAAAAGAGAGAGAGAGAACTTTTTAAAAAGGGGGGTCCTTTGTTTTGTGAAATACCTGTCAGGCATGGGTGATTTAGTCATTCCTGAGTTCATGGCTTCAGCTTTCTAGTTCTTAAGCCCTTTGCTCATGGACCCCTCCCCCCAGCCCCCTGCCACTGCAGGCCATTTCATTGTATCCTGACCCTGTAATATGGCAGGACATACATTTAAAAGCTCCTAAAGATGGAACACATGGGCTCAAATCCTACCTGTTTCTATCACAACCAGCTGGATGACCTGAGGCAGGTTACTGCTGATATCTGATCCTTGATTTCTTATCTATAGAGAAGGCAAGGGAAGCTATTCTGAGCTATTTGCAAAGTGATTGAGAGAACACCCAAGAATAGCATCAAGTGTGGTCCCTTCTTCCTCTCTTGGTTGCTAGGTTGAGCAAACAAAGTAAATAATTCAGCCCTTCTGTTCAGTGCTTTGAGCACCTATGAAGAAAATCCTTCAACACTCTGCTCCTGGGGTCTTGTGGAGAAGCCACCATCAGTAGTCCGGGCAGTAATCACAAAATTCAGAAACCTCCAGCCTACATAGGTATTAATAATCCCCCTTCTTTCACACCAGGGCTAAATATTCATAAGACTTTTGATACCAAAGGAGCCAGGATGGAGTGGAGCTGAGCTGACTGAATTGCGAAGAGTACAGGGAGGAGATACCTTTCCTTAAGTTAGAGCCTGACATCACCTAGGTGCTGTGGCAGTGCATTTGCTAGTGACTCTGGACCTAATCTGGGTGAGTGAAAAATTGGGAGGATGTGGAACCCAGGAAAAAATGACAGCTCACTTATAACCCCAGGATCCGGATCTGGGAACCATGCCTATATCCCCTGTGCTTTTAAAGCTAAGGGAAACACCAAAGGGGGCGTTTTCCAGGGGCAGAAACTCCCCCATGATTTTGGCCTTCTTTTGTGTAATGTAGAGATTACAAGTCAAAGCCTGAAATACAGGAGGATGTGGCTCTACAGAAAAAGCTTTGTGGATAAAAATGGGGAGAATACAAAGTAGAAGACTAAAGAAACTCAACTGAAGAGTTCTTTAAAAGTTCTTTTAAAAAATACCCCAGACTTCCTAAATAATAGCCTTTTGAGATCACGTGCTGTAGAAATGCAACTGCTTTGTGCCATCTTTCTAAAAAGATTTGAAATCTTTTTTCCAACAAAAGAATATCTACTGTTTTTACCCTTAATCAGCTGTAATGAAAGAATATGAAGAGCTGTCATGTGCTTATTAGGGAAAATTATCAGATATTCTTTTATATGATGAAGTAACACACTGAGCTGATAATTCTATAGTGCACACTAAATTACAATTAAAGGCCTTTCTGCTCCACCAGAATCTCATTTATAATCTCTATGGAAATATTCTTACTGCAGTCATTTCATTTATGCTTCCTTTATCTAATTACTATAATATTGGTTCTGAATCATATTTTCCTAATGTACCCTTATTCAATTATAAAGTTATTTTCAAGTACAGTTACTTTCCAATATCAAAGAATACCACTTGGCCATCTATGTCATTTGTCATGCTTCTTAATTGCAGATTGTTCCTGAGCCATTTTTTTCTCCATTTTTAAGTAGGGTGAAACTTCTATAAATCAAAAGCCATTGAATTATCCAATTTCTTTAAAATATTAGCCTGAAATGAATGTCCTGATCGTGAGATCTGAGAATTAGATATTCCACATCTTGTGTATTTTCAGTACATGCCACTGTTTTGTTGGGTTTCAAGAAAAGCATACATAGAGGTGATATGTTACACCCTAAATGTTTTGTGTTTTAATTTACATAAATAGATTTGTTCTGAAGGGCTGTTTCTGACTTGGTTCTTTTAGCTTGGAGTGGGCTGCAGGTTAAGAATATACACGGATAAGAGTATTGAGTCAATATAATAGTAGCTTCTTTAAGACAGTTTCCTAAAGGTAATAGGCGCAAAGTTTCTAGATGTGGCAATGTACCTTGGCATCCTACAAGTTCATAAATGTGATTCCCCTGAGTAGGGGGCTGTGTGTTGACCCTAGTAGATGGATGACTGCAGAATGAGGCCCAGTAGCCAATCCACAATGATTTGGTCCCCCGCTTCCCAGCTGGGGCTACCTGGGAGACAGATGTGAGCAAAAGCTTTCCGCTGGTCAGAATTTAGTAAATTTAGTGAGTAGGACATGTCTTGATGTGAGATTGTTTCCTAAAGATCCTAAGTGGCCAAAGAGTGGGATGATTTAGTCTCCAACTTATCAGCTTAAAATGACCTTTTAAGGACTTCCAGGACAGTGTAATTATCCTAAATAGCTAAACCTGCAGCAGTGGTTCAGGAATATTTAAATTTAGCAAACAATCATTACACTAAAAAGACAGAAGTGTTTTATATTGAATGGACAGTTTCTACTTATTTTTAATTTTCTAACCAGTGAAAAATGAAACTGTACATAACTCCCTTCGTTATAAAATGCTTTCGTGGTTAAAGAACTCATTCAAATGAGCGACAGTCTCTCTTACTTGTGGGGTTTCAAGGGTGAAACAGGACCGGATTTTGTGGCAGCTTGTGATGATGACCAGGATCCTCAATGTGAACTACTGGCTGGGCTAACCATGGGGTCTGCTGGGCCTTCCAGGGAAGGAGGCCACAGCACTGACAGCTGGCTCTTCCTTTCCTGCCTCCCCCAGACGCCACACCTGCTCCTGCCTGGGCTGCCCTCAAATAGTCACAAAGTTTCCAGGACTTGAAAAGATAGCTCTTCCGCACAAAGAATTTGGGGACACTGGACTTTGGTCTTTCTTTAGGACTCTGTTCTCCAACAGTGAGCTGCCTAGACTAGTCAAACAGTGGATTTAGTACTTCATATTCTTTATTTCACTTAACATATCTCTTTAGCTTTAAGATAAGCAATTGACTTCATAATAGTTTTTGTAAGAGGAATGCACATTAATTATTAAAGTGTGCTAGAATTAAGGAAACAAGAAAATTTAATTATTAGACCAGTCCAATGGTTGGTAGTCACTATCCTTTTCTCATATGTAAGGGCACCGAGTCTCTGAAAGGTCAGATAATTTGTCCAAGGCCACACAGCTAGGGAGTGATGGGGCCAATCCAGAGTTGCGCATCTGGACCACATTCCACTGCTGCCCTCGATACCCAGCTCTCCTTATTTCCGGCTACATCTGGCCAGCTCATGACCCTTCATCTCTCTAACTCATCTTGGGCCACTCTCCCTCCTCCCTTCGCCCTCCCGACTGCTGCCAGAGGGGGCTTTTCTCCAACCCACTGCACGTTCTCTCACATCTGATCCTTCGGACCCACAGGGAGGCTTCTTCCTTCCCCTTCCAGGTCCTTCCTTACTTGGAGAAATACTTTCGGCGTGGGTCTCAGCTTAAATACACCTTCTTGAAAAAGCTTTTTCCTCATTTCCTACACCAACAATTTTCAAAATATTTCAAACTAGAGTGAGAAATCCATTTTACATCATGATTGAGTATATATATACGGTGTTCATTTCATATTTTCAAAGTGTGCAATTCAGTGGTTTTTAGCATATTCACAGGGTTGTGCAACCATCACCACCAATTCCAGAACACTTTCATCACCTGAAAAAGAAACTCATGTCTATCTATCTGTCTGCCTGTCTGTCTGTATCTACCTACCAAACCAAAACAAAAGATTCATGAAACAATACTTTGCCTTTTTTACTTCGTGGGATGAATGCTGATATTGTCTGTTCCATTCCATTCTGTGTCATTCTATTCCATTCTTCCCATTACATTAGAAAAAAATCTTTCAGTGCCTCACTCCATTGATTTCATGTCCCATTTTGCATTGTAACTAACAGTTTGGAAATCATCGCCCTGGACCATGGCATGTCTCCCTGCCCGGAGTGTGACAGCACCATCTTCTCCTCACATGACCCTCCGCACACTGCCCACTACTTGGTGACTGTCTAAGATTTCATGTTCTTGGAGGGCAGCATCTTGTTTTTGGCTCTATCTCCAGTGCCAGGCGCATGCTGAGCAGGTAGTAAGTACTCAGTGAATACTGGTTGACTGAATAAATGTTTGCCTTTAAAAGGGAAAAATAAACCCGCGTGCTTCTTTTGGTTAGTGTTCACACAAGTAAGATGGAAGGCAATAGAACTATTATACTGCACTTTTTACTAATGTAGGCCAGTGGCTGCCTAGCCTCTTCCTCAAAAATAGAGATCAGGCCGTGACATGCTATTATGTCAATGTTCCATTTTGCTTTGCTTTATAAATTCTGCTTGATGCACCCCGGGGGCCTGAGACCCTGCCTGCAACTGATCCTAGAATGTGCTTATTAACCAAGTGTGTTTCTTTGGGGTGTGTGCCTTATCTGCTCATGGCCTTCACCAAATTTCTAATTTCTGCTTAGCCTTTTCTAATTCATTTTTCCTTTTTGGGGGGCAGCTGGCCAGTACAGAGATGGAACCCTCGACCTTGGTGTTGTCAGCACCATGCTCTAACCAGCTGAGCTAACTAGCCAGTCAATTTAAGAGTTCTTTTTGCTGTAAGTATGTTAATCTTTATGGGTTAAAAAAAAAAAAAAAGTAGAGAGTAGAATAATTGTTACCAGAGGCGAGGGAGGGCAGGGGAAGATTATGGGTGGACTAATGGGTACAAAACCATGCTATCTACCCTAACTGAATCATTGTGCAGGATATGCATGTAGTGAAACAACACACTGTACCCCACAAAAATAAATATAAATAAAATTGTATTAAAAAATGAAAGTAAATAAATTCAGCGTGAGCAGCCTAGCAGTCTCCACGAGGACCCTGCAGGCAAGCTCTATCAATGACATGCGCAGTGGGTACACCCCCAAAAAACCAGCGCAAGCTCTGCTTTCGGTGAATCTGCCAACGACGACATATCCTCACCCTCCCCTGCAACCTCTGCCACCTCCTACCCTGCACATGTGTACCTGTCTTTGCCAGTCTCCTGCTTGAAGAGTTCATCAAACTGCAGCATCTTGTGGCGCGTGATCATGAAGGCCTTCAGCCGAGGCAGCACCTGGCTCAGCAGCTGCAGGTTGTTGTAGACCCGACCCTTGCCATCCCGCCGCATGTAGCTGCTGGGGCCCCAGAAGATGAACACGGTGCCCTGGCTCACGTTGAGCAGGTCGTGGCGGTTGCGGAGGATCCTCTGGATGCTGGAATGCGCGATGACCCTCAAGCTGGTGCGGTTGCCCACGTCCCGCCCGTAGCCGCGTGTGGGGGCATCATTCATGCGGATGACACACTCTGTCTGGTCAATCTGGGGGCCTTGTCGACTGCGCAGAAGATGCCCTGAGCTGGTCACCAGGGCACAGTCCCTGCAGTGCATTTTCAGGGGCTGGAAAGCATGGGGAGAAGGGCACTGTCAGGGGCAAAGGGCTTAACCCTCACTTGGCACCAGTAGGTTACTTCCCTGCCTGGGGAGAATGGGGCCCATTTCCCCTCTCCTCCCTTTCCTACCAGGGTACATCCCTTCTGCTATTACTTCCTGGACCCTGACATTCTCTTCTAAATTGGTCACAGGGAACATTGAACAAGAGAGAAAGAAAACTAGCATTGACCTGTCAAACATTGGGCTACGGGTTTTGTGGATATTAAATAAGCAGATCAACACATCAACCCAGCAAGCTTGCTATCGTGGTTATTTTACAGATAAGGATACTCAGGCTTAGTGATGTTAGGAAATTTGTCCAAAGATGCATAACTAGCAGGTAATGAAGTCATGCTTTTAAAAGTAGGTCTTTCTGAATCCAAAGTTACGCCCCAAGTCAAGGCAAAGATTATACCGCAAATTGCTGTGACACTAGTTTTGATGCTCTTAACTCAGCTTATTGAAAATTAAGCATTTATTAATATTCTTGGTGCTGTACAAATGTTTGTTATAAATAAACATCCTCTAAGAATCACATAGGAAATGACATGCAGATTATAATTCCTTAAATGCCATAATTATGAAATGACAGGATATTTTCTCTCATTTTATGGGGAGAGGGAGAGAAACTGAGTTGGTCCATTTTCATAAATGTAAAGAAAGTCTCAAGGTCAGAGGCACACATATCTCAAGGTCAGAGGCACCCAGGAATCGCAGGGCCTGGGTCCTTCTCTTACGTGCAGTGGCCACGGACCCTGGGGAAGTAATGTAAAGAAAGTCTCAAGGTCAGAGGCACACATATCTCAAGGTCAGAGGCACCCAGGAATTGCAGGGCCTGGGTCCTTCTCTTACGTGCAGTGGACACGGACCCTGGGGAAGCCCTGGCTATGTGGTGCCCAACAGGAACAACTCCACTGCCGTTCAATGCCCTGCACCAGTGATTTGCTTTCTGAACACCTACATTCTAACAAATTAAACATTCCCCTGTTCATGTTTAATGAGAGATATCTCTTAGTTGCTGTTTGAAGATAATGTAATTAGGGCCTGAGGCCAAGGCCAGCAAGCGCACAAGAAAATGACAATCAAGAATGTTCCAAGGGAATTTTACATTGTTTGATTTTCCCCAAAGCCTCTGCCCTTCTTCTCTGTTAACTTTGAACAGGACACAGGGGCTCCCTGCACAGCCTCAGGAACTTGGATCCCTATTTAGCATATATTCAATTTTGTATTTACTCTGGGAGTTTCCTGGCTCTGTCTTCAGAACGAGATGGAGAGCACCTGAGGGTAGCACGTCCTCTCACTGCAGGGTGCCCAAGAGCAGCCAGCTCTTGGGTGTGATGAGATGGGCCCAACCTTGTTTCCACTACCTATTAGCTACAGGACCTTGGCAAGTCATTACCTGCCAGTCTCAGTTTTCTTACCTCTAAGTGAAAATAATACCTCATTCTACCATTAAGATCTTGTATTAAGATGTACACAGTGTTAGATTGAGCCATTTGAAATTGCCAATATTTGACGTGCAAAAAAAGGAAATGCATATAGTTGAACCCAGTCCTTAGCATAGGCCTGTCACAGTTATTCAATAAATGATAGGTTACCCTTTACTGTAGAGATGGACCTTTTTCATATATGGCCTGCAGTGGATTGAATAATTTCCCCCCAAAACTTACTTAAGCTTGAATTGTGTCCCCAAGTTTTACGAATTAGAAACTTGGCACCCACTGTGACTGCTAAGAGGGTGGGAAATCCTCTTATGGTAATTGAAAGGCAGATCCTTGAAGAGGTGATTGGATTGTAGGACTGTGTAGTAGTGAATGGATTAAAAATGGTGGTCATGGGTGTGGTTCTGAGGGCTTTAAAAGGAGAGCACAGTCTCTCTCTCTCTCTCTCTGCTCGACTTCCACCATTTTGCAATGTGATACCCTGAGTGCTGAGTCACCACAAGGACAAGACCCTCACCAGATGTGTTCCCTGGACTTTGGATTTATTAGCCTCCCAAACTGTAAGCAATAAACTTCATTTTCTTTATAAAATACCCAGCTCCATGTATTTTGTTATAAGCAAGAGAAACGGACTAATTTAGAAAATTGGTACCAGAGAAGTAGGATGTTGCTTATAACAAGTACTTGAAAATGTGGAAGCAGCTTTGTAATTGGGTGTTGAGGAGAGGCTGGAGGAATTTGGAGAAAAAGGCTAGGAAAAGCCTATATGCTAGTGAAAGTTTAGAAGACTAGAAACCAGGGAAAATTTTGAATGTTTTACAGACTGGTTAGATGGTGGTGGCTAGAATGCCTGTGGAAATGACTGTAAAGACCATTCTAAGGAGGTCTCAGAAATAAAAAAGGAGTTTTTTAGAAATGGGCAAAGATCACCCATGCTATGAACTGACAAGGAATTTGGCTGCATTGTTCATGCCCTAGGACTCTGTGGAAGTTGGAACTTAGAAGCTGTGAACCAGAGTATTTGGTGAAAGAAATTTCTAAGCAGCAAAGCATTAAGGAAGCTGCACGACTACTTGCGACAGCCTACTCTGAGTTATGGCAGCAAAGGCATGACATAAAGCCAGAATTTAAAAGGGAAGCAGAGCGTAAAGAGTTGGAAAATTTGCAGCCTGGCCATGTGGTAGAGAAGCAGAGAACATTTTCAGAATTAAAATTCAATGGTGCTAAGAAGATTAACACAAAAGAATGGGATTATCAAGAGAAGGGAAAAAGGCCCTGAAGTCATTACAGAAGCCTCTGGGGCCAACCTTTCCATTTCAGCCATAAAGGCCTAGGGAGGCAGAAGAGTTTGAGGTGCCCTCCATGGGCTGGCTGTCCAGGGACACCTTGGGAAGCTGCTTCTAGCACCAGCACCTAGCTGCTTTGGATACTCCAGCCATGGCTAAATTGGCCCCAGATGTGGCTGGACCTGCAGCTTTGGAAAATACAAGCTGGAAGTCTTGGCAGCATCCACGTGGTGTTAGGCCTGCAGGCTTTCAGAATGTCAGAGCTGTAGAGGTTTAGGAGTCTCCACCCCAATTTCAAAAGATGTAGAGAAAAGCCTGGGGACCCAGGAAGAGATCTGTCATGGGGCAGATTCATTGCATAGAGCTTTCACTAGAGCAATGCTGAGCAGAAATGTGGGGTCAGAGTTGCAGCAGAGAAACCCCATGAGTGTCATGCCTGGTGGAGCCATGGGAGTGGGATCACCATGGATACCCCAGAATTGCAGAAGTACCAGTGTGCAACCCCAGCCTGGGAGAGCTGAAGTGTGGCCTGCGACCAGGAAAGTCATAGGAGCAGAGTTGCCTAAGGACTTGGGGATCTAACTCCCACACCAGCGTGCAGAGGACATCGAACATGGAGTCAAGGTACCTGATTCACCAGCTTTGAGATTTAACACTTGCTCTGCTAGGTTTCAGACTTGTTTGGGACCTGTTCCCCCTTTCTTTTGGACTACTTCTCCCTTTTTGAACGGGAATATGTACCCTATGCTTGTCCCACCATTGTATCTTGGAAGTAGATAACTTGTTTTTAANCTCTCTCTCTCTCTCTCTGCTCGACTTCCACCATTTTGCAATGTGATACCCTGAGTGCTGAGTCACCACAAGGACAAGACCCTCATCAGATGTGTTCCCTGGACTTTGGATTTATTAGCCTCCCAAACTGTAAGCAATAAACTTCATTTTCTTTATAAAATACCCACCTCCATGTATTTTGTTATAAGCAAGAGAAACGGACTAATTTAGAAAATTGGTACCAGAGAAGTAGGATGTTGCTTATAACAAGTACTTGAAAATGTGGAAGCAGCTTTGTAATTGGGTGTAGAGGAGTGGCTGGAGGAATTTGGAGAAAAAGGCTAGGAAAAGCCTATATGCTAGTGAAAGTTTAGAAGACTAGAAACCAGGGAAAATTTTGAATGTTTTACAGACTGGTTAGATGGTGGTGGCTAGAATGCCTGTGGAAATGACTGTAAAGACCATTCTAAGGAGGTCTCAGAAATAAAAAGGAGTTTTTTAGAAATGGGCAAAGATCACCCATGCTATGAACTGAAAAGGAATTTGGCTGCATTGTTCATGCCCTAGGACTTTGTGGAAGTTGGGACTTAGAAGCTGTGAACCAGAGTATTTGGTGAAAGAAATTTCTAAGCAGCAAAGCATTAAGGAAGCTGCATGGTTAGAAGACTAGAAACCAGGGAAAATTTTGAATGTTTTACAGACTGGTTAGATGGTGGTGGCTAGAATGCCTGTGGAAATGACTGTAAAGACCATTCTAAGAAGGTCTCAGAAATAAAAAAGGAGTTTTTTAGAAATGGGCAAAGATCACCCATGCTATGAACTGACAAGGAATTTGGCTGCATTGTTCATGCCCTAGGACTCTGTGGAAGTTGGAACTTAGAAGCTGTGAACCAGAGTATTTGGTGAAAGAAATTTCTAAGCAGCAAAGCATTAAGGAAGCTGCACGACTACTTGCGACAGCCTACTCTGAGTTATGGCAGCAAAGGCATGACATAAAGCCAGAATTTAAAAGGGAAGCAGAGCGTAAAGAGTTGGAAAATTTGCAGCCTGGCCATGTGGTAGAGAAGCAGAGAACATTTTCAGAATTAAAATTCAATGGTGCTAAGAAGATTAACACAAAAGAATGGGATTATCAAGAGAAGGGAAAAAGGCCCTGAAGTCATTACAGAAGCCTCTGGGGCCAACCTTTCCATTTCAGCCATAAAGGCCTAGGGAGGCAGAAGAGTTTGAGGTGCCCTCCATGGGCTGGCTGTCCAGGGACACCTTGGGAAGCTGCTTCTAGCACCAGCACCTAGCTGCTTTGGATACTCCAGCCATGGCTAAATTGGCCCCAGATGTGGCTGGACCTGCAGCTTTGGAAAATACAAGCTGGAAGTCTTGGCAGCATCCACGTGGTGTTAGGCCTGCAGGCTTTCAGAATGTCAGAGCTGTAGAGGTTTAGGAGTCTCCACCCCAATTTCAAAAGA